TTTTTAAGCTTAAAAAAAAGGTCAGATTATACTGAAGATAGCCTGGTAAAAAAACCAGACCCGTCCTTCACTTTGCTTCGTCCGAGGGTCTGGACTCTCGGCTATAGAGAAGCGATTCTTGCAGGAGGCGTGGCCTCTGCTGAAGTTTAAAATGATTGGATCAGTTGGTCGCAACGTATGTCGCTGTGACGGAGGCTAAGCTAAGAAGCTAACCGGAAATCGCGTGCGCTGTAAACAACCCTACTGAGAGGAGAGAAGTACCGAGCCAAAAGAGACGACTGTAAATGAGAGCTGCTACTTTGTCAGACAAATTTATTTTAATTTGGAAGCCTTATCAACACAGACTGGCTTCATTCACTTCCTCTACTGTTGTATGCTAAAATAACTAGCAGACACTGCGCAGAACATCAAGGTCATTCAAAACGCCGCCTTCTGTTTGCTGATTGGTTCACGTAAAATAAACTACAAGCAGACACTGAGCAGAAAATTGACGTTCTGTCCTCTGATTGGCTCGAATGAAATTCTCCCAAAGAAATCCTTGTCTATGGGAGAAATCCCAGATGGAGCAGTGAAAGGAAACTAGAATTGAGCGAAACTGCGTAGGAAGGCAAGGGCCAGGCTATACTGAAGAATAAATATGGTAAGTATAATAATCCCAGACGGAGCAGTGAAGGGAAACTAGAATTGAGCGAAACTGCGTAGGAAGGCAAGGGCCAGGCTATACTGAAGAATAAATATGGTAAGTATAATAAAAATAAAAAAATAGACAAAATGAGGAAAGACTCAAGTTTTAAAGAAAAGGATCTAGAGGTTTTGAAGTCTTCTTAAAAGTCCCATGACTTAATCTGAGTATTTCCAAAACATGCCTTAAGTAAAACGGGTAAATCTTAATCTGTAAGAATCTGCAGAAAAAGTTAAACTTTTCAAACATGAAAAGAAATGAAAAGATTTTTTATGCCGTTTTGCCTGCTTTTTGTTGTCATTAACAATCAAGTCAACATGTAGTTTGTACCTTCAAAGAGAGAGAAAGGCGTGTCTGGTGTCCGACATCCATGCTTCCCGTAGCTCATGCACCAATCTGCAAACTGCACAAACACGTAACGTGAATACAGAAACAACTGATGYAGTCAGAGGACGGAACAAACAAAAACATTCTCCTTCACTGTGAAAAGATTCAGACTGATGTAAAGCACAAGTGGGAAAACTGCTGCTACCTCGTCCGAACATCCAGCAACGCACATAAGAGACTCCCGCTGCTTCGGAATAACTTTCACTTTAAAGGCAGACRAGAGGCCAGCTTCCATATGAGAGGCTGAGCTTTGAACCCAAACCTTTCACATCTTACATCAAAGCCTCAGACGGACCGACATACAGAACAGGCAGCCTCAAAGACCAACTGTAGCAGGACCTATAAAAAGCAYCCCGTCGTAATGTGAATGTGAGATAATCCGGCTTTTGGATCCTCAAACGGCAGCTGCAGCCTGAGGACGCTCACCATGCATGCTCTGTAAAGGTGCTTCGGCTCATTGGTTTGCYTGTAGAGAGCCAGGAAGGTGTAGGCGTTGCCGGCTGCTCCGTGGCACAGCCCGTACCCCTTCTTCAGCAGACCCCACCGCCACACCACCTCCCCGCACTGCAGAGCATCGTCCAGGTACTGAGGGGTCCCAAAAACCTGCAACAAGTACATCTTTAAAAAAAAGAAAAACACTCCACCACAAGGTGTCACTGTGACTCCAGCGGTGATTTGTCTCCATCTCAAACTCACTGGGCGGGTGTTCTCTCACCTTGTAAGCCTGCAGGAGCATGTAGACCACCCCGGGGGAGCCGTGGCACCAGTGCACCAGCAGGTCTCGATCGTCGCCGACGCAGGGAGGGTAGTTCCCCGAGGGGAACTTGAGGCGGCAGACGTGGTCGACGCTGGGCTTCACCAGCCTGTGCACGTGCTCCTCGGAGGAGACGAAGCCTGGCTGCGAAGGAAGGACCAGAATGAAGAGTTTGGAAAAAGAAAAATGTTGGTAATGAGGAGTTCTGTACTGGACTCGTTGAGCTAGGGTGGGTTAATAATCCTCACAGGCTGAGGCTTTTAAAATGATGAAAACTTGATTTTTCTTTGGTTTTTTTTCTTCAGTTTTAATCGATTTTCAGGGTTTAGAACCACAGAAAACAATCTGATTCTATGCGCTAGTGTTGTTTTGGGATCTTATGTCAATGATTTAAATTCCTCAAGAGCAAAAATGTAAAGTTAGGAAGCTATAAAAGAAAGAAATGAAAATTCAAGATCTGCTGAGATACAACAGAGCATCTCCACAGTAAAGCACGGAGGTGGCAGCATTATGATGCGGGGGTAGCATCTTTGTGGACGTGGAAAATTAGTCATATTAATAAATTATGCTYATCAGACAAACTGCAGAGTAATCTTATGGATTTATCACAATTAATATACCTATGTTTTCACGGTGAAGCATGGGGGTGGCAGCATCATGATGTGGGATGTTTTGTTAGTAGCTTGGCGTGAATAACTAGTCATGCTGATGAGATATGTGTATAAACGGAGCTTTATGGTGACAACTTGCTGAGTAATATTCCCTGGACTTCTCTACTTGAACAAATCTGAACAGAGTAACGTCACAGTAAAACACGGAGGTGGCAGCATCATGATGTCAATGTCAATTGATGAGGGGATGTTTCCGAAATTTAGTCAGAAAAAAATAGAGAAATAATGAGGAAAATAAACAATTTCAGTCTTTKAAAGAGATGAGGTGGAGAACTAACATTCACTGGAGCGGTTTAACAGGAAACAAGATATTCTGAAACCTTACAGCTAATGACAAGACTTGGTGAGTCCTCAGGATTTATGATAACACATCCATATCAATAATGGGACCTAAACATGAAACGTTTTTTTTTGGGGGGGGGACATATCAAAGAAGTTTTAAAGGGAACTCTGACTAGTTGTAACATTAGACATCATTTGATAAACAGTTACGTCAACTATAAAAACAAGACTTTAAAATACTGTAGGCCGTTTAGTTTTCATRAATAAAAAATATATGCATATCGTCACAGATGTTGCCATGTTATGTATGCTGTAAAGCATTCAAGGTAAATGATGTTTACTGGGTCCTAMGGTGCGAGTGCTATTCAGCTGGAACATTAATTTTGGACAATGTCTGATATTCAGCCTTTTCAAATGAAACTGGAGCGTGTTTACAAAGAGGAGAATGTAGAAACAACTCAGTCTGACACTGAAAATCATGGAAGACAACAGAGGTGCTTTATGAGAGGAGAACTTCAGCTTTAGCCTTTTAGCTTTTGAGTTAGTTCCTGTGCTAATAATATTAGTTTGGTGGCTAACGCTACATATGCATTTGTGATAAGCATTTAGCTTCAGAGCTAATTTACTAAGCATCACATTTCATCATTTCAAACCACATATTGTGCAGAACATAGAAACTCATACTACACACACACACACACACACACACACACACACACACACACACACACACACACACACA